CGTCGCGCGTACTCGAACCACGATATCGCTGCTACGCGACCGCGCTCCGCCATCATCGCGAGCCGTGCCGATCGTTGTCAGGAACGATCGCCGGACGAGCATTCGCGAGTACACGCGCCTCCGCTGCTCGCATCCTCTGGTGTTCCCGCTTCACCGCGCTTCCGAACACTGCGAATCTCTTCGTCAAGCGTTTATGGGCCTCGAGGAAGGGTTACGATGTGTCTGTAACAAACAATCGTGGAAGGTTATTTTTAATTCGTATTAACTTCGGAGAATTTGATCTCTGATACAACGTGATAATAAATAGTTTGATTTATATTCGAATTATTAATGTTATGATATAACTTTCAACATATGTCACTTGTGATATGATGCGATATTTTTATCGTATCGTATGAATGTTGAAAATGACAAAATTAACTATATATGTAGGTGAATTTGTATGATTGGATGTAGGAACATTTGTCTTCTCGTTTTATAATAATGTCCGCTTTAATTTAACCATGTTTGCTTAACCAATTGCTTAATTTAACCAATTGCAATGGAAATTGTTAAAATAAAAGTTTTTATGCAAAGAACGTGCTCTCATATCAAGTAATGTAAATATACATTACAATTTTACTTGCACTTTCCAAGCGAAACAACGAGCTGCAAATTATCTGTGAAGCGCTCGTGTCTGATAAGGAATAATAAAGTCAATCAGTAGAATTTAATTTTTATAAATCAAATAGATTTGTTTTTTTAATATAAATCAATTTAACATTACGTTATTATTAATGATAAAAAGTAAAAAAGAAATATCATCTATTGAAGATTAACTATGTCAATGGATATAACTATACCAATGAATTATGAATCGATAAATAATTAAAACGAAATTAAATAAATCACTATAAAGATAATAAAATTTGAGAAAGTAGCTTTTTTTTAAAGCATTTGAGGATGGATTAAAAGAAACACGGATAGCTTGATTTGTTATCATTAAGTTTTATATGTAATACGAATGTGTGGATTTCACGATAAGAAGAAACAAAAAGATGTGAAATGAATTCGAACAACGCAGAAAATTGGAATTCAGAAAGCTATTGATATATCTTTCTTCATCTACGATACGATATAAATATAATTATCAAAGATTCAATATCATATATATGTTCAATATAAAAGAACAATTGAATTTCAATCTAAATGATATATTGGGATAAATTACAAGAAATTAAAAAATTAAATATTGATTCCAAAGATATCAATGAATGATTTGCTATTATCATTTGTGTATAAAATCCTATCTCAATCTTAATCCTGTTTTTCGAGTAACAAAAGAATAATAAAGAATAATATTTATAATTTATTTATAACAAAATATAACAATAATTTTATTTCAACTAGTTGAATAAAAAATAATTGAAAAATCATCTTTATATTATATTATTTACATTAAATATTTGTAGTTACAAAATCAAAAAAAATCAGATGCATACACTGATTCGCTTACCGATTCCTACATAACCGATTCCTACATAACACAGTGAAAATAAAATCACTGCAATAAAGACATCGAATGCACAACGGATATCAAACGTATCCAATTATAAACAAGAGGAGATGGGCCACGAGATAAAGAGGAACAGCCCCGTGCACCATGCACTGTCTTATTCTGGTCTATGGACTCATGCTTCCTACAACTTCCTAAAATACGAGCCCCGAGGAAATAGTTCACGAACGTATCTCGAATGATTCGTTTCGTTCTATGTTCTACCCTCGTTCCCTTCCCTTCCTTTTCGTCCCTCTTTTGTCTCCATCGTGCACGCGCGTGCTGACAATACAATACAATGTAATGAACCGATGTCCAACACACATGAAACGCGTCCTCTACTTTTTTCTGCAACATGCGTTTCTATATGCACGCACGCATGCACATACAGCATAAAAATGAAAATGTTGCCCCGCGGAACGCACACTTGAGATTTCGAGTGCTCCTTCGTCGAGTCGACCTCGTATCGCGTGGATTTATTATTTACGTCGAGCATCGGTGAACTCCCTATAGCTCTTTATACAGGAATATTCGTACCCCTTGGCAGTAAACGCACGTAATCATCGAGCGAGAAATAATTATTCCAGCTGCATAGGCGGGAACGATCGAGATAAACTGTAATCAATATTCATGATGCCGCTGATAAAAAAAATAATAATAATAACGATTGATATCTCGATAAGAGATAAGATGACTTGATAACGAGGTTCGATCGAGACGATATATCGCTCTGGATCTCATGGAAAGTTATACGATCATGATATATCTGATTGCGAGTATATGTATTATTCTACGTATTTTGAACAAGGAACGATGTGGAATGCAGAATAATGTATAGGTTAAAGGAATATATGATCATTTAATTCTTAAGAGAAAAGTTTACATTTATTGAATAAATAATTATTGAATATGCAAACACAATGTATTAAATTTCAGATAAATTTATAATTTTTTAAATTATAATATTAATTTTTTAAAGTCGAATACATATAATAGGTGATAAATTTCATAGATCACGTGACTGGTCTTTTAATCATGGCGTCCAAAATGCGCGGAATCGCGTATCAATATATTAACGGTTAAATATCGATTGAAAAAGATATCCACGAAAGAATGTCCGCAAAATTTATTTACCAAGCACGTTAGAGGTTCCATTAAGCGCAGCATCGTAGGGAGAGAAATCGCTAAAATCCTATTTTTATGAACGGTCGTCGGACATGAATAGTTCAGTCCACTTCTCCGCTACAGGCATCGTCTCCTAGAATACGCCAACATAGAATCACGAAGGAGGAAAAGGGATGGTGGTCGAGAACAGGCAGAGTGGTCTGTTTCTACTGTCCACACTCTCCTAATGCAAAACTCATGTAGCATCGATAGTCGTGGACTTTAGCCATGACATCGGTGACTGGCCGGATAGTCGTGTTTCGCGATGTTTATTCAATGCACTTTATCGAACAGGAAATCACGAACAACGAGAAAAGTGGCTGACACAACACAACCGATGAATATTTGTTTACGTAGAAAACGCGAATCCCGCTAATTATAGTCACGGAGTCGAAGGGAGGAAACGACGAAGACACTATTTTTACGAGTCTCCCGCCAGAATATCGTCTGACTCCGTCTGACCGTAACAAAGCCGATAGACGATAAACGAAAGATCAACTGACTCTACTATTATGTCTTATTGTCACAATAAAAATATTTCATCGGTTCTGATGCATTTGACACTTCGCAATTTGATCGAAAACTACTGATACAGACACTTCGTGTATGGCTTCCCAAGAGCAACTGAATGCGCCATCTAAGGACGCAGAAAAATTTTGCCGGTACGGTAAATAGCGCCTCTATTAGACACAGTCGTAAATTATGATTGGCTGAATGAAAAACGCATGCTGTCTACATGATATTAAGTGATATGGTTAATAAGTTAATAAAAGTTCCTTTATTTTGATATATATTTAATTGAATAATAACAACAATAAATTAAAGACGTTGGTTTACACGTGTTAATAAAATCAATATCGATCAATCCGCAGAATTTTTTCACGGAAAGTGAGGTTAGAATACAGCACGAGTGCTCGCTTGGTCTGTGTCGCGCGCGCGTGTCAGCGAGTGGGAATTCGGTGTTTTCATGAGGAAAAATGTGCGCGGCACGCGTGCTGACGTTCTATTTTCGAATGAAAGGCGCGATCAGGGGACAAGAACGAAAGAGAGATGCAGAAACTGGGAGAGAAAGGGAGTGAAAGAGAAAACGGACAGACACGAGAAAGAGAGAAAGACGAATCCGTAAAGCGTGTATACGAAACGAAGAGAAGAAGCGAATAAGATAGATGTAGGAACGAACTGCGAGGGAAAAGCATGGAACAGAAAGCGAGAAAGCGACGCAACGAGAGCAACAACATTGTGCAAAAACGAAGACGGATTGTGATGCATCTGTATGCGTATATATGGGAGTAAAGAAGACAGAGCACGAGTGAGTACTCTTTGAATACATGGCGGGAGAAGGCGGACAGAAACAGAGAGCGAAAGGGATGAAGAGAGGGAAGGAGACAGAGAGCATACTGCCGTTGTAGTGTGGACACCGGCAAGGAACTCTGACTCGTCTTGTGCTAGGCGGCCATGCTGGGTCTCTCTTGCGTTCCGGGAATGGGTACCTTTTGCGTACACGATGAAAACTCGTGTATCCCCTCGCAGAAAATTCTATCGCGCACGTTGTCACTCACACTTGTGAGAAACGTGGTTAGGTGGAATCACACGGCACAGTGAACGAAGAGTGTCGTTGAGAGAAAAAAAACAAACGAAAATATAAATAAGAAAAAAAGAGAAAACAAAAATGTGAATGCAAATCGATGAAAAAGAAGACGACAATATCAACAACGACAACAATAACAACAACAACGTGCGCAACGTGAATTCTGTTAGACGAAAAAGATGAAAAGAAGCGAAAGGATGTAAAGTAAAAAAAGAGACTAAGCGTGCGAGAGAAAAAGAAAGGAGACAAGCACACGCACCGTGTTGACCACCACGCGTTCGCCGTTCGGGATGAGGGGAGGGGGCACCTCTGTTCACGAGCACGATCAGACGTATACGCAGTACACGTAAAACTACGCGCGGCAACGACACACACGACCAGTGCACGCGTCTTCGCGGCGGCTCCGTGTTTTCCACCGTGTGTAGCGTGTCGATGCTGGCTTTTCCTTTCTCGGCATGGACGCCACGGCAGCCACGCCAAGACGAACGAAAAAGAAAGGAAGCGGAATCGAGCGTGGATCGTACAACGAACGACCGAAGCTCGAAGCGAACGAGCCGAAGATCCGTGGAGCAAGCGGTGCTGCCTATCGGATGGCACTGCGTTCAGCGCCGCGGTGTGCGACCCCCGTCGGCCTTCATCGTCTTTCCTCGTCGCGCCTCGTCTCGTCTCGGCGGCACTCGTCGCTTTTCGCCCCTTTCCGTCCCTCGAGTTTCTACCGCGTCTCGCGCTGATCCCACACCTCTGTGTACTACCTTACTCTCTTACCCGTCTTACTTGTTCTTTCTCTTCTTCCATCTCGCGATTCTCTAAACCCCTTCTTCCGTGTGTAACACCCTCTCTCTTTCTTTCTTTCTTTCATCACTGTTCCTGTCTCCTTCGATTCTCTATC